TTCCGATCTCCCCAAAACCCCAAAACCCCAAAAGCTAAATCGAATTTATACTGATTTATAAATATAGATTAATAATTAATTCAATAATTTAATATTTTGTTCTCTATCAAATCTTCATTTAAAATCTTAACTCCCTCTTTTGTCTCCTCTTCTAGTAATCCTTAATCCTCAGACAACTATATTTTTTCTTAATCATTTTTCTTTTTCTTAAAATCAAATGTATACAAAATGAATAGGGAAACTATCCCATAAGCATAGCAAACTGAGAAATAGATAAAGTAATCTGTCCTAGTTAGAATAAGTGATTACACTATCATAAATATGAATACAAATATTGCCTAAACTAGAGAATAAACACTGAATGGAACAGTATTGGACTCAAATTCAAATCCAAGTATGCAATTTAGAATGTTATTTAAATTACTATCTTAGAATCCCCAGAAAAATGTCACAAAAAAGGTTAGCACTGAATACTTAAAGTAAGCAATATAGGCTAGTATTAACAAAATAGAGATTGAAAGCTTTATAGAGCAGGTGATAATTGCTATTTTCTAGCCGTATTTATCCATTATCTTACCTATTATCACACTCCCAGACATTTCACCTAGGCCTAGTGGAATCATTGCTAATAGCGACATCTCTAGTTGCTCATTCTCTGACCAATCGTATTCTTTCATTGTAGCAGTCATCATAGTTACGAAACTCCCAGCAAAAGTAGCTAAACTAAGTGCACTCCAGATTATTAATGGTATTATCTTCCTCATTTTCTTGGAAACTAGCATCTAAAAGACATCAATCAAATCTTGTTTGAACTTCCCTCTTACTTTGACTTAATCTTTTTTAGGTTTATAGGGATCTTTCTACAAATCAGCAATTTCAACTATTCCTAGAGTTTATCTTTCTAAAGTGTTTATCAAATTCTGATTCAACTCTTATTTTTCAACAATTGAATCCAATTTTTTGTTGTCAACAATAATCTCTGAGTCTTTTAATATTTTGGATACTTTGCTTTCTTCACTTGGTTATGTAAGAAATAAGAAGACTAGAGAGCCAAAAAAAGATAAACTAGACATAATAATGTAATAAGTTGGCTGTCCATTTGCTCTGATTACAAAAGCAGCTATGAGATTTCCAAGAATCTAAGATATCATGAATATAAAGAAAAAGTAGCTGAAAAAGAATCCTTTATTTTCATCAGTAGCGCATGATGAGACATATTTACCCTAAGATGTCCAGAGTATGCCACTCCCAAGACCATTAATCATTGCGCTCACCAATATCATTGAATCTATGAATCCAGTTTTTAAATACAGATATTATTCTCTATACTCTTTATTCTCATTATAGTAAGCAGGGAATAGGAAGCAAAATATCCTGAAAAAGTAGCACAATCCACCGATAAACAATGAAAATTTCACACCTATTTTGTTCACAATAGCAGTAGAGAAAAATGATCCAAAAGCAAAAGCAAGATAAAGCAGCGACATACTGTAGAAACCCATATTATCGAAGCCATCCTCTTTCATTATCTTGGCGGCCAAATTATCTGCTGAATTAAAAGCAATGAACAAAAATAAAAATCCAATTGCAAGGAGTGTTACTTTTCCTTGATTCTTCTCAAATTTCATTTCTTATTCGCAATAATTTGATAATATAGAAATTAATTTATATTGAAGTAAATTTAAATAAATTACTGATTCATGGGGTTTTGGGGTTTTGGGGAGATC